ATTTCTGTGTAAAAATGACCACAGTTGATTTAATATATTTTATTGCCCACAGAAGTGATTTTTTTCAGTGCAACCGCTGTTCATATATTTTTTTAATGCAAATCCAGTGACCTTTTTTTATTTTCAGTGGTAAAACAAAATGAAAGAAGTGATATTATGTTTTTGTCTGTTATATTGTACAGTATAATAGTGGACGGTGTTTTATTTTGGACATTTGGATTCCCTGTATAAATAATAAGGTTGGAGAGATGAGTGGATTTAAGGATTATAGTAAAGTCTGGTCCACTGGGACGTCCTCAGCTGTTACTGTCCCAAACCAGGAACCAAACAAAAGGACAGGGTCACAACGACACTGAGAAAGAGAGCAGAAATACAAGAAAGTTTTGTTTTGATGACTTGAGACATTGGGACTCATCTTGGACTTGAGCCCTTTGACTTAAGACAAAAAAATAAAATTAAATATATAAATAATAAAGATAGATGTGTTATTCTTCATGTCCGTCCCCACTTTTCTTTTTCTTTTTTTCTTACAATATCAGTAATTTGGTAATTTGTTGTGAAACCGTGAAAGGAGTGATTCTTAAAGTCAGACCTAATGAAACTAGTCAAACTATTTCAGGATTTCGAAATGGACTTGAGACCAAAGACTCGAGACTTCCAAAGAAAGACTTACTGAACCCACCCCTATGAATTTAGGGAAAAAATCTGTTTGTTTTTTATAAAAAATTTCTTAAAGGTTGTATGGAGGATTTTTTTTTATTTCAAACTGTCAGTCAAAGATTAAAATACAATTACAGAGACGCAGCAGCTTTGTAATTATGATGACCAAAAAAAAAAAAAAAAAAGAACGAAAATCTATCAACTGTGGACGTGTTGAGGCCAGATAAACATCAGCCAATAGAAAACGAGGCTCCCTCATTTTCTATTGGCTGTTGGGTTGTCAAGTCAAACTCCCTAGTGTAACTGACTCGTCGGAGCGCGGAGATTACGTGGTTTACGCGGCGGTTCTTAGAGGCATTTTCGAACTGTCGCTTCCTCGCATTTCGCACAAAGTTGTCCTGACGGCGGACGAGAATCCACGACCGGTTCGCCGCAAAAGAAAGTCTGTTTTTGAGGTCGCTGAAAGAAGAAGAGAAGAGGAAAAGGAGCAAAGCCAAACTGAGGTGATTCTTGGAGATCTCGTCCAGCGATGGCGCGACCGAAGCAGACGAAGGGTCTAAAAACTGACGCGTCGGTCGCTGAATTACTTCTAGACAGGAAACTTCAACAGTAATTCTGAATGCGCACAAGGACTGTCGCTGTATTTCTCTTCCCTTAAAAAAATCCTCTATACAACCTTTAACAAGAGCAATCAGAGACATCAACCTTGTCCCCATGAGGCGTCGGTGGGTCGGTTCATCACCACAGAAGCAGTTTATGAGGAGTCCAGTCCATATCACATGATCATTATATCCACAATGTAATGTGTGTATCTGTACAGGCCCATGAACATTAGTGTGATGTTGGTCACACATGAGAATGTCTGTGTTTACTAGTGTGTAACAAAAATGTCATTTTTCATGAGTTGTGTGTGTGTTAGTTGTGTGACTGTAGATCAGTGTGTTGTGTTTCACCAGAAAAACAAGAAATGGAAATTATTTTTGTTCCAATTAGAATTTTAACAGCAAACATTGAAAGAGAAAGAAATTGTTATAATTAGTGATTATCTCGAAAACTAGTAATATTTGACTATACAAATGCATAGAATTATAAATAGATCATAATTTTTCTGAGACTTTGAGACACTCCTGTTACTCGAGCTCGATCCTTTGCGGCGTTATGACCAAAAACGCATATTTGACCTTGGTTACCTTGACCTTCAAATGACCTTGACCAGTTTCAACCTGTAACATCCAGTGTGCCTCGGTTATGTGTGTGTCAACTTGTGTGATGATTGAGTGAATATTTTAGGCCGCAGATGGTTCAGAAATTGCCAAAATTGCCTTTATCCTTTATAATGGCGTGACCTTTCAATTGACCCCTGTGACCTGAAATGACCTCGGATCATCACCAAACTTTTTTTTTTTTGGCCTTGGGCACGGGGGCTTGACCCACGTACCAAATTTGGTGACAATTGGTCCATAAATGGTGGAATTATCGCAGGTGGACACAGACACACAGGATGAACACAAAACCAGGTACCAGGTAATAAAAAAATAAAAAATAAAAAAAACTTGTGACTGTTATTTTTATGCAAAAGACAGTGAGATACTTGTTTTAACAGCACAAATTAGGAGTTGTAGTTCAGATAAATCCGTTCTTTATAGTCAGATTGTGTTAAAATAAAACTCAGGTAAAGTTCTAATTTAAGTAACAAAACTTCACAAATTTCTCTGATCTGGCCAAGATTTTTTAAAACTTATATCAGGTTATTCATCGCCTGTGAGGTATAGCTTTAATTCATTCATTTATCAAAATAAAAACAAAAATAAGAAACAAAAAAAAAAAAAACTAAAACAAAAAAAATTCTTCATTATTTGTCTCCAAAACCAAAATGAAAAAACAGATAAGGATTTGTATTTTCGGTTTTCGATTTTGTGTTTAAATGAAAAATGGAAAAAACGGGTAACGGCCGTTTCCTGTTTATGTGACTTAAACTGTGAACCAGGACTAAAACAGGACTAAACCAGGACTAAACCAGGACTGAACCAGGATTGAACCAGGACTAAAACAGGTCCAGGACCAGACCAGGACAAAGACCGGGACTGAAACCAGGACACGAACAGGACTGAGACCAGGACTGAGGCCAGAACGTGACCAGACCGGCACTGAGACCAAGACCAGACCGGCACTGAGACCAAGACCAGACCGGCACTGAGACCAAGACCAGACCGGGACTGAGACCAAGACCAGACCAGGACCAGACCGGGACCAGACCAGGACTGAGACTGGAACCAAACCAGGACTGAAAAGGGTTTAGTCCCGATTCAGTCCTGTTTTAGTCCTGGTTCACAGTTTAAGTCATGTAAACGAGAAACGTCCGTTATCCGTTTTTTTCCATTTTTCATTTAAACACAAAATCGAAAACTGAAAAAACAAATCATTGTCTGTTTTTTCATTTTCTTATTTCTGGTTTTATATCGAAAAACAAATGAACGAACGACACCGGGATGAATACAGCTCATTTTCAGACAGATTTAATTGTTTATATCAATCTTTTTTTTTTACACATTGCATTACAGACGGAGCAGTGCCTCTAGTTAGCGTCCCACCCAGAGAGGGAACATCAGCTGCAGAGCGTCGACGTAAACCCGCACGGCGATGACGCAAGCCGCCCTCCGTCCAATCAGAGCGCTGCATTCTCCCGACCTGCTCCTCTCCTCTAATCCTCCCTCCCTCTTTCTCCAGATTGGCTCAATACAAATACAAGTGTCATTTTTTCATTAGTTTTTCAAAATAAAACCAAAAATTAAGAAAATGAAAAAACAAATTATTTTCTTCATTATTTGTCTCCAAAACCTAAATGAAAAAAACAGATGATGATTTGTTTTTTCGGTTTTTGATTTTGTGTTTAAATGAAAAATGGAAAAAACGGATAAAGACCGTTTCCTGTTTACGTGACTTAAACTGTGATCCAGGACTGAAGCAGGACTAAACCATCCTGGTCTAGTCTCAGTCTCAGTTCCGGTCTGGTCCTGGTCTCAGTCCTGGTCTGTTCCCAGTGTAGTCCCGGTCTAAATCACGATTTGGTCTCGGTCTCAGTCCTGGTCCAGTTCCCGGTTTCAATCCTGGTCCTAGTCTTAATCCTGGTCTCAGTCCCGGTCTGGTTCCTGGTCTCAGTCCTGGTCCAGTTCCCGGTCTCAATCCTGGTCTCAGTCCCAGTCTGATCCCAGTCTCAATTATGGTCTGGTCTCAGTCTGGTCCCGGTCTCAGTCCCGGTTTGGTCCCGGTCTCAGTTCTGGTCCGGTTCCCGGTCTCCATCCTGATCTCAATCCTGGTCTCATTCCTGGTCCTGATCTCAGTCCTGGTCTCAGTCCCGGTCTGGTCCCGATCTCAGTCCTGGTGTCAGTCCTGGTCCCGGTCTCAATCCTGGTCTCAGTTCTGATCTGGTCTCAGTCTCAGTTCTGGTCCCGGTTTGGTCCCGGTCTCAGTTCTGGTCCGGTTCCCGGTCTCCATCCTGATCTCAGTCCTGGTCTCAATCATGGTCCTGATCTCAGTCCTGGTCTCAGTCCCGGTCTGGTCCCGATCTCAATCCTGGTCTCAGTTCTGATCTGGTCTCAGTCTCAGTCCTGGTCCTGGTCTGGTCCCGGTCTAAGTCCTGGTGTGGTTCTGGTCTGGTCCCAGACCTGTTTTAGTCCTGGTTCAGTCCTGAATCACAGTTTAAGTCACGTAAACAAGAAACGGCCGTTATCCTTTTTTTCCCATTTTTCATTTACCCAAACCCAAAATCGAAAACTGAAAAAACAAATCATTATCTGTTTTTCATTTTGATTTTGGAGACAAATAACAAAGAAAATAGCTGTTTTTTTTTCTTCATTTTCTTATTTTTGATTTTATATTGAAAAACAAATGAATGACCGAACGATACACGGACTGATACAGCTCATTTTCAGACAGATTTAAGTGTTTTTATATCAATCTTTTTTTTTTTCATCATTACAGACGGAGCAGTGCCTCTAGTTAGCGTCACACCCAGAGAGGGAACATCAGCTGCAGAGCGTCGGCGTAAACCCGCACGGCGATGACGCAAGCCGCCCTCCGTCCAATCAGAGCGCTGCATTCTCCCGTGTAATCGTGTGAATGGACCTGCTCCTCTCCTCTAATCCTCCCTCCCTCTTTCTCTTTCTCTCTGTCTGTTCTCCCTCCTCCTTCTCTCCCTCCGTTTTATCGACATATGGAGCTGGGATGATGCTTCGTCCATCACGAACACCGCGTCCCGTTAGAGAACCCGCAAACGCCAACGCTTTAGTTTAGTTTTAGCGTTTTTTAAATTTTTTTTAGAATCTCGCCAACCGGTAAAAATGCGTTTTCTTTTCTCCTTCTGCTTCACTTTTTTAGCTCTGAACATCGTTTTCGTCCGTTCTTGCCCGATCCAGTGCAGCTGCTTCTTCCACAAGTTGAGCGATGGGTCCAAGGCCAGGTAAGTTTTATGAAATATTTTAAATCGGCATTGAAATTTAAAAATAATTTGCCTGAAAATAACGATTCTGAGTAGAGCGTTCTTAGCTTCTGCAGATAGCCCGGGATTAACTCGTGCTAATCTTCTTTGCAGGTACGATGCTTTTTCTAACAAACGGTGTCGTGGAGTTGGACTTTCAGACTTTAATGTGAAAATTTTAAAACGTTTATTATTATTTTGAATCGTTTGGAAAATTCTAAACCAAAAATGACAGATTGTCGTTGGATTTCAGTGTGTTAAATTTGCTTTTCTTTTTAATCCATGTGTCATTCTTTCATTCATTTTTCAATAAATAAATAAAACCAAAAATAAGAAAATAAAAAAAACAACAACGATTTTCTTCATTATTTGTCTCCAAAACCAAAATGAAAAAATAGATCATGATTCGCTTTTTCCCATTTCCGTGACTTAAACTGTCATGCTGGACTTTTGCGCCGCACACGGACTGAACCAGGACTAAACTGTTTTCAGTCCTGGTCTCAGTCCCGGTCTCAATCACAGACTGGTTCTATTCTGGTCCTAGTCTCAGTCCAGGTCCTGTTCCCAGTCTCAATCACGGTCTGGTTCTAGTCCTGGCCTCAGTTCTGGTCCTGGTCTTAGTCTTGGCCTCAGTTCTGGTCCTGGTCTTAGTCTTGGCCTCAGTCCTGGTCCTGGTCTTAGTCCTGGTCTCAGTCCTGGTCTGGTCCCAGTCTTAGTCCTGGTCTCAGTCCTGGTCTGGTTCCGGCCTGGTCCCAGTCCTGTTTTAGTCCTGGTTCACAGTTTAAGTCATTTTTAAGTCCGTTTTTTTCCATTTTTCATTTAAACACAAAATCGAAAACTGAAAAAGCAAATCGTTACCTGTTTTTTCAGTTTGGTTTTGGAGATAAATAACGAAGAAAATTGTTGTTTTTTTCGTTTTATTTTTGTTTTTATATTGAAAAAGAAATGAACGAATGACACACGACACATTTGACATTTTTTGATGATTAAAATGTTTGTGTTTCATATGAACTTTGCACAAGAAGTGGTTTAACAAAGACTTTTAGTGTCACAGTCATGATTTAGTCTTCATTTTTCATTGAATTGTTTCCAATTGATTTTAAATATATCGTATTGAATCGAAAGTGCACAGTATCGAGATGTGTATCGTATCGGCGACTTCTGAATGATTCCCAACCCACTTCTAACTAAACCATTTCTGTAACTACATTTCCTCACAAACCCTTTATACTCTATCTTCCCTGTTGATACTTTGCACCGATACCGCGCTTGGGGTGTTCTAAATGTATATCTATGGTGAAATTTTCAGCAGTTACCATGTTTTTTTTCATTTTAATTTGCAAAATCCAGCATGCACACAGACATTAGACAGGACCAGTCAATAAGTACAAAACAGTAAAGTGTGTAGACGTACTCTAGGTTAGACTTTTTAAAATATATTTTATTTTATATAGTTAATCACTATGGAAACAGTTGTAATTTTTCATAATTTTGTAATCCATGGGTACACAGCAAAAAGTGGAGTGTTAAAATTGACTCTCACAGAATCAATTTTAACATTTTCTCAGGGTTTATATGAGTCCAGTCTGTTCTAGAGATAATTACCTCCGCCAAGGAGTTTTTGCCGGCGTTTGTTTGTTTGTTTGTTTGTTAGCAACATAACTCAAAAAGTTATGGACCGATTTTGATGAAATTTTCAGGATTTGTTGGAAATGTGAAAAGGAAGAACTGATTTCATTTTGGGGGTGATCCGGAAGAAATCCTGGATTCTGGATCACTTTGAAATTTTAGTTAACATTGTGGTAAATGGGGCCAAAAATTTTGTTTCTCAATATCTCGGTTAATTATTGACCAAACCCCATGAAATTTGACTCAGGGATGGACAATGGGATCCTCTTTCATATTCCAAAGGCTGATCTTTGGAATATGAAAGATCCAGAAGACTGATTTTATCGCAATTTATATAAAAAATGGGGGTAGTCCTTGGCGGAGGTCTGCGCTCTCTGACTGCTTTTCTAGTTTAACTTTTTTTGGAAATGTTAATTAAGTAACACTGGACCAAAGTTCCTGTTTAACCCCGAAATCAAGAGTTAAATTAATGTTTTGAGAGTAAACGGTTTGTTTGCCTGACGAAGGCCTAGTGCCGAAACGTTGCACGGTTTGTCCTAATAAATTTCACAGTTGTAAGTAAGAAGATGTGCGGGATTTTTGTGTGTTTATGTTCTGGGGCTGCTCCCTCTCCTCCAACGCACCGTCTCTAGTAGTTGATGTGCGAGGCTCTCGTTCTCAGTTAATTTAAGATGAAATCATGTACAAAACTGTTCTAATTGGTGGGAGTTTGAAGTGGTGGGCGGGAGATGCTAAATTAACACTAAAGTTGGAGTTGAATTGACACTAGAGGAAGTTGAATTAACTGAACAAGAAAAAATACAAAACGTCTTTTAAAGCGCAGAGTAAACGGACGCTCGGACCGATCACAGGCTCCTGAAAATGTACCGTTTAAATCCATTTTGTATTTTTTCTCGAGCGTTTAGAGCTTTTCTTAAAACTGTTTTGTGTCACTATGGTAACTGCTGAAAATTTCACCACAGATATACATGTAGAACACCCCAGTCGTGGTGTCACTGCAATGTATCAACAGGGAAGATACAGGATAAGTCAGACCTGGGCATTGTCCAACTCCGGGGCCACATAAGGACCTTTGGTTGGCTCTGTCCGGCTGCTGAAGCTCATTTGGAATTACAAAATAAATATATTTTATTGTTTTACCTCACACAAGTGTTTTTTTTATTACATTTTTATAAGGCAGCCTGAGTTTTTCATTTCTTAGACATAACATAAACTCTTCCCAGTCTCACCAGCTCGTCAAAACAATATTTACAGATTTTTTTAAATAAAGAAATACAATTAATATTAATAAGCATTTTGGCGTCCACAATATTTTCTGTTTTTAATTTGGCCCCATGGAAAAAATAATTCCCCATCCCTGGTATAAAAGGTTTGTGAGAAATATAGTTACAGTAATTTTTCGGTCAAAAGGAAGAACGTCTGATGGAAAAGCGAACTCGATTTTCTATCATTTCAAAGTATCTCATCCACTGAAACTTCTGCATTTACTGTATTTTTCAGAATATAAGTCGCTCTGGAGTAAAATTGCACCAGCCAAAAAATGTGTAATGAAGAAGAAAAAAACATATACAAGTCGCACTTTTTGTGGGAAATTCATTTTATAAAATCAGAGACCAGGAACAGACTGACTTTTTCAAAATATTCATTGAATTTACAAAGTTCCATGACGTTTCCTGGCCGGGAAGATTACATTTTAAATTTCCATGACCGTGGGAACCCTGTAGTCTAGAGTCTAGAGCAGGGGTGTCAAACTCATTTTGGTCCGGGGGCCGTATCCAACCGACTTTGATCCCAAAGGGGCCGGATCAGAAAACTCATGTCATATAAACCCCAAAAATAACAATAAGTTCAAATATTTGTGCAGAGAAACACAAATCTATTACAGAAATCTTTTTAAATTGATGAACTCTTTCTTTTACAAAATATTATAATATTATGAACAACCTGAAACTTTAAGAAAAATACAATTTCAACACAATGTTTAACATGAACTTGTTTAACATGAACTTGTATGTAAATAGGAATAAGTCAATTTTTCTTGGAAATTCCTGCACTCGGCTCCACTTTTCTCATGTTGGACATTTTTCTGATGAGGGTGTCACGGTCAACAGTCAAAACGATCGTCCTTTAAGAGCGTTTGGAAAGAGACAAGTCTTCATTTGTGCTGCTCTGGTGGGAGGGGCCACGTACAGAGACGCTGGAGACCAATATTTTAATTAAAATATTTAAGTTGAAAATCAGCCAAGGGCCAGATTAAAGGTCTTGGAGGGCCGGATCTGGCCCCCGGGCCTTATGTTTGACACCTGTGGTCTGTAGAGTCTGTAGTTTTATTTGAAGATAACTTGTCATGTAAAATGATCTTGCTGCACGAACAGATAATTTTCACTGCTTTTAAATCATTTTCTGATAGATTTAATTGTTTATATCTTACATTTTGGTCCAGCTTTTTTGCAGTATTGAACAGTTTTTCCATTTCAGGGCAGAACTCAAACTAAATGTGCAGGGTTTGTGTGTTAAATGTGTGAATGAAACAAAACAAACACAACTCCAGGTCTGTTTGCGATGAGAAAACTACATTAGAACATCAGAAAACAACGTCATATGAACCACAAATACATATACTTTTTTTTTTTTGTATTTGTCTTTCTAGGAGCGTGCTTTGCAACGATCCTGAAATCTCCGTCATCCCTTCCAACTTCCCGTCGGACACCTCCAAACTCCGCATCGAAAAAACCGCCATAACCCGAATCTCCAGCGATAACTTCCACTACCTGAACAGCCTGGAGTTTCTGTGGATGTCCTTCAACTCCCTGTCCTCTTTGAACCAGGACAGTTTCCGAGGACTGAACAATTTAAATGAGCTGAGACTGGACGGGAACGTTCTCACAAGTTTCCCGTGGGAATCTCTGAATAATATGCCAAATTTGAGACTTTTAGATCTGCACAACAACAAGATGAACTCCATCCCGGCCGAAGCGATTGGATACATAAAGAACATCACGTACCTGGATTTGTCGAGTAATAATTTGGGGACTGTTCCTGGGAATGTTTTGGCGATGTGGCTCACGGTGAAACCAGCGCAAGAAACAGAGTCCAAACTTATTCTAGGTAAGAAAAAAAACAAAACTTCTTCCAGTTCAAACAAAAGATGTAACATTTTGTTTTATATTGTGAATCTCCAAGCTGAGAGTCATTCTGAAATCTGTGGACAGTTGTATTCATCTTGATTTGGGAATGTTTGACCAGTGGGATAAAGATGTGCGGTTGCATCTTCAGTCAGTCCAATAACAAACCAAGGTAAATACTTAAACGTAGGGATGTAATAGTGAACAAAAATCACGGTTCAGTAAATACGTCGGTTTTGAGGTCACGGTTCGGTTCAGTTTGGGAACAAAATGTCAAACCATTTGCTTGTTGTTTATTTGTGTTTTTATTAAACCAACAATTTGTTTTAACATTTTACAAACGGGGTGAGTCTTATCATCAGAAGAGCCTCTAGTCAGAACATCCATGTTCAGGTCGTGTTACAAATTGTTACAAATGAAATTGTATTTCAAGTTTTTAATATTTTAAAAAGTAAATATTAAAAGTAATAAATATATTAAACCCTTAAAATACAGCAAAAATGTTTGAGGAAATAATGATTTGGGTGGAAATGTTTGTCTTAAGTGGAACAGGGTTAATAATTGTCTGATTTTCAGGCAACAACTTGCAAAATGTTCAGTAATTCGAGCTCTACAACCTTCATTTCAATTTTATTTTAAATCTTTTTCTTTTAATACAGCATTGGTGGGTTTGTAAACCAACAAATTAAGTAATTCTGGCCTTAGCTAATGTTGTTATTCATGATTATGTGTTTTCATGTCAATATCTCTAAAAATGTTGATGTTGCAGCCATTTTTAATTGGTAAACATCCAAAAGTTTACTCATTCTTCCCTGATCCAGGGATTATTCCCTGTTGCTTTCATCAAATAAACATTCAATTGTTCAAGAGAAATGTTGCTGACAAACCAATAGAAGAGGGAATGATTTTCTGACTAGTGGGACTTCTGATGATCAGGGTGTTACCTTTACAAACAGGAAAATAAAATAAATGCAAAGTGCTGCCTAATAATACTAATAAGTTAAATAAAATGTTCTCAAATAAACAATTAATGTATGAAATTCAGTGGCGAACCGTGGATCTGGACCCTGGGTCTTCACTGGGACCAACTGCTGTCATGACATAATTTAATAAAAAAAAAACTAAATGAAGCAAATCACACATTCACTTCCCTCATATATTTGTTTAATAATCATAATCATAATAAATAACCTGTTGAACATTTACAGATGGATGGATCTCGATGGACAGTGAGTTCTTTTGACGCTGTGGTCTCGCTTATATTTGCTGTTTGGTATTTATTTTATTTATAAGGGAAGCCCCTTGAGATGTAGCATCTCGTTTGTGATTGGGTCCTAATACATTTACAAAAGCAGGAATTACAGAAGAGAAAGAAAAAACAAATCAAAACAGAACGAAAGACAAAGACAATATTCACACAACACACAGACAGCATTCGTACTGTACAATCCAGGATCATAAGATATACACAAATCTCTCTGAATTTGATCATCACCACACCTATATTTGTAAATGAGTGAAAAAAAGCAACTCTATGTACAACAGAAAGTAAATAGAACAAAAATTTATTTTTATCGAAAGTCGTGTTTGTGAAGGTCCAGAAGATGTGGTGATATGATCCTGTCCATAACTCAATAAAATATGATTGGCTAAAACAACTGTCAAACTCAAACTCATCCCCACATTGACTTGAACTGCGTGGGTCTTTGTTACAGACGCCGTGGGCCCTAACCGTGCTGCTTTATAGTCAGGACATTGTAACGTCTTCCAGTTGTTGTGGAGGCGCCGCCCTGAGAATAAAACTCTGTGGGAAACAATTTCACCCCAATCATAGACGAGTTTCCTCGTGAATATTAAAGAGCCGAGCCTCTGTGTAGCTGCACATGTCGTGGTGAAATGTAAACACACACAAACTAGGGACGGGCACTCGATGAAATTTTCTTAATCGATCGTCAGAAGAATTAACGATCGATTATTGATTAATCATTAACGTTTTTATATTAAAATGATCATCATTATTATTACTATCTGCACTAATCTGCATAAATAAATTCAACTTTACGACATATAAACCGTAACGACTCTAGAGCCACATCAGCTGTTTGACATTATAATGTGTTTAATTCAGTTTTGTTCAAATCTCACAGAAACAAAACTTAAAACAGCATCGCTAATTTGCATAAACTAAGCAAAGATAAAACTCCAGCTCTTGTGTCGCTGATGCAGTTCAACTTCTGTCAGATTAAAGGACACGACTCAGGTGAATACAGGTCAGTGTGACCAGATTTGCTTTTGTTAAAACCAGGACACGGGGGGAGGGGGGCGGGGCCTCGTCATCGACATTGCGCAACTCTCACCTGGTAAAACTTTATCCCACTGGACACTGAAACATATGTGCTGCTTTACTGTGCACATGGACTCACACTTGTCCCGACCGGAACGGAAAGCGTGGAATTTCTTCGGACCCGTTTGGTCTCCCTACGCTACGCACAGCAACCTACATTCGGTTTGCAGATTAAAATGAACGTAATCGATGAAATTCTTAATGATCAATTATCGATTAATCGACTAATCATGCCCATCCCTAACACAAATTCACTTGCGCACAGTCCTGCACTGAACCAAACGTCTTGTACTGAAACAGTTTAGCGCGAATACATGAACCATTACAGACTTAAAGACGTCATAAAAGGTACAGGTAAACACACACATCACTGGTGTATCTGACGAAGATCCACTCAACCAAACGCTGTCATTCGTTACATGCAGTTTGGGAGTAAGTGTGCAGGCTTTGTCTCACTTTCTAAATACTTAAAGGTGTATTATGGAACTTTTTTAAAGGTGGGTCTGCCAAATGCTTGTATCCATGGAGATGTTTCTGCTTTACCTGCGCGTTCCTCAGAATGACATTAAACACATCTATTGTGCATGTGTTTTAATTGCTGAAACACATACATTCTGCTATCAGTGGTGTCACCCAGTCTCTACAGATCTTCTAACTTGGTCCACCTGGTTGTCTCCATGGTGATAGTCAATTTTAATACTATACTGTGGAACATTCATGGCAAAGACGTTAGGTTAACAAACATTTGGCGTAAGAGCATTGTAACTCAATAACAATATTACTGAAGTTAAAGTAGTAATAGTAGTAGAAGTTTACAATTAAATCATTTTCACAGGTTTATTTAACTGTTACTAGTAAATTAAGTAAATTAAATCAGTGTCCTAGTCTCACTTCTAGAGTTAGAATAAACTACAGCGATATAATATTACTCAACTTAAGGTAAAAACTATGTAATAAGACCAGTCTTGAAAATACATATTATTTCAACTTTACTTGAGTAAATTAAGTAAATGTAACTTAAATCCATGTTTTTAAAGTTTAATCATAACATTTAAAGTTGAATTTTAACTAAAGTAAGAGTATTGTGATTTCAAAATAATATTCAAGTAAACAAAGCAGCTAACTTGTGCATTTTATTTAAACATTACTTGAATAAATTAAGTAAATGTAACTTAAATTCATGTTTTCAAAGTTTAATCATAACATTTAAAGTTGAATTTTAACTAAAGTAAGAGTATTGTGATTTCAAAATAATATTCAAGTAAACAAAGCAGCTAACTTGTGCATTTTATTTAAACATTACTTGAATAAATTAAGTAAATGTAACTTAAATCCACGTTTTAAAGTTCAACAATAACATTTAAAGTTGGATTTTAATTAAAGAAATAGCACTGTTGCTTCAAATTAATATTACTCAAGCTGAAAAGGTACTAGATAAAGTAAACAAAACAGCTACTTGTGCATTTTGAGCACTGCCACTTCAAAATAACATTACTTAAGCTGAAAAGGCAGTTTATAAAGTAAACAATACAGCTATGTGTGCATTTTATTTAAACATTACTTGAATAAATTAAGTAAATGTAGTTAAATTCATGTTTTCAAAGTTTAATCATAACATTTAAAGTTGGATTTTAATTAAAGAAATAGCACTGTTGCTTCAAATTAATATTACTCAAGCTGAAAAGGTACTAGATAAAGTAAACAAAACAGCTACTTGTGCATTTTATTTAAACATTACTTGAATAAATTAAGTAAATGTAACTTAAATTCATGTTTTCAAAGTTTAATCATAACATTTAAAGTTGGATTTTAACTAAAGTAAGAGCACTGACACTTCAAAATAATATTACTCAAGTAAACAAAGCAGCTAACTTGTGCATTTTATTTAAACATTACTTAAGTAAATTAAGTAAATGTAACTTAAATCCACGTTTTCAAGTTTTATCATAACATTTAAAGTTGGATTTTAATTAAAGAAATAGCACTGTTGCTTCAAATTAATATTACTCAAGCTGTAAAGGCAGTTCATAAAATAAGCAATACAGCTACTTTTGCATTTTATTTAAACATCACTTGTGTAAATTAAGTAAATGTAACTTAAATCCATATTTTCAAGTTCAACCGTAAGATTTAAAGTTGGATTTTAACTAAAGTAAGAGCACTGTCACTTCAAAATAAAATTACTCGAAGTACAGTGAACTTAAACCCTGTGTGTGTGTTTGTGTGTGTGTGTGTTGTGTGTGTGTGTGTGTGTATTTGTGTGTGTGTGTGTGTGTTAGTGTGTGTGTGTGTGTGTGCGTGTGTGTCGGTTTAAGTAAAAGGTAGAACAGGGATTAGTCTAAATATATGTGTCACTGAAGCGTCACAAGTTCCACGAAAAGGTTCAGATTAAAACAGTGACGCATTGTTTTCAGATTAGCTTCAGTGGACCGAAAGCACAGAAAGAAAACGGACCTATCCCGCAATGGTGGAGAAAGAGAAAGAGCCTTCCTTTAACGACCTTAAAGATAAAATAAAAATAAGATAAGCCTGTTCCCCAGTGAAGAAATGACAGTGTTGCAGCGCAAAGTTCAAGCACAGCAGGAGAAAACAACCACGCACACTGGAAAAAAAAAAAAAAAAATCTAGTTAAATTAAAATGACTTAAATTAAGAACATTTTACTTTATTTGATTTGATTCAACTTGAAAAGTAAAATTATCTACCAGTGGAATAAGTGTGTTTTTTCTTAATTCAAGTTAATATTGTTTCTTATTTTAAGTGTTCAAATCATAATAAATAAAACTTTTTTTTAAATTCAAGTCATCTTAACTTGGGTACACTACAAAAAAATTTAATCTAGTCAAGTTAAGATGACCTGAAGGATGTGAGTAAATTCCACTTGACAAGTAAAATTATCTGCCGAGTAGAACAAGACTTTTTGTACGTAAAATATGAAACTACATCTGGCTGCACTTAAAATAAGAAAAACAACACATTTTTGCACTTAAAATAAGAAACAAAACCATTAAATGTTGCTTGAATAAAGTAAAACACACTTATTCCATTTGTACATAATTTTATTTGTCAATTAAATCGACTCAAATAAAGTCAAATGTTCTTAATTTAAGTCATTTTAACTTACCTAGACATTGTTTTTTTTCCAGTTCAGATTTTTTATTTATTATTTTTTTTGCAGTACAATCAAACAAAATTTAAAGATGCAAAAAACCGTTTCAGCCTGAAACGCGTCGGGACTTTGTTCTAAATTAAAGCTGCACTATGTGACTTTTCTGGTGGAGGGATTAACATGTGCTTGTCTGATCCTCGCTGACACAGGTTTTTTATGGCACTTCTGAACAATATTAAAAAAACACCTCAATAACATTTTTTTTATTTATTGTTCCGAAGTACCATACAAAACATGTATTTGTATTGTGAGTGGGGTCGCCTCTCCACAGATCTGACTTTACTCAAATCATATAAACTTATTTAATTCAAGTCATCTTAACTTGGCAAAATTTTGAATTTTTGCAGTGCAATAAAATTAAATCTAAATTAAAGCTGCACTATGTGACTTTTCTGATGGAGGGATTATCATGTGCGTGTCTGATCTTACATTTATTCAATTACAGGTTTATATATTGTTTATGTTGTTAAAGGAGCACTATGTCAGGTCAGATCTGTGGAGAGGCGACTCCGCTCACAATACAAATGCATGTTTTTTGTTTTTTACGGCACTTCTTAACAATATATATATTTTAAAAAATGTAATTGAGGCTTTTATTTGCATTTGTATGTGAGCAGGGTCGCTTCTCCACAGATCTGACCTGACATTGTGCTTTTTTAACTGGATTCATTGTTTAAAAGTGAGGAGGTAGAGCAGTGCTAAGATACAGGCCTAGAATTTGACCCGTCCTTCAGTGAAATGTGTCAGGAGCAGTGAGTCCATCTCCAGATCTTGGTCTAGTCTTGGTCAGGACTATTTTAGCAGGAGGATTTGCTCTAGTGATGGAGGTGAAACCAGAGGAACCCACCAGACACAGGGAGAACATTCAAACTCCACATGGAAACACCTAATAGTCAAACCAGCGAATTTTGTGCTTGTTTAAAGGTCCTGTATTACACAAAATTAACTCTTGTGAGCTTTAAGTCGTGTTGTTCGTTAATGTTGTTACCTGTTAATGTTGTATTTTGTTTCATTCACATGTTTGAGTAACTCTTTATTATTAGTCTGAGGGATCAAAATGTATCAAGAAAAACCAGGAGACTAAGTGCCTCTCCTCAGTTAAGGTCTGAAATGATCCAAATGATTCTAGTGAAGATGTGTGGCATTTTAAAACCCAGTGGAGCACTTCTGTTTGTTGTCTGAGAGAAGTACTCAGGTATATTTAAAAACAGAGACATTTCCCTTCGTTTGTTCCATCTTTTACATGCAAAAGGCATTTGCCTCCGAAAAAGAATCTGTCTAAAAATTCCAACTAGAGTGGAGCTTCTGGAAAACTCTGGTTTGGCGTTTGAGTGTAAAGTGAGAAAAACAGAGTTTTAGGTGCTGACGTTAAATGTGACCAGTGTTTCCCTTTTGCTCTGATGATGATGATGATGATGATGATGATGATGATGAAGGATCAGAGCAGCAGTCACAGTTTGCACACAGCTGATGGATCATATCCATGACCAGAGGTCAGGCATTTTACCACTTGTTTAACAGATCTGTGGAGAGGCGAGCCCGCTCACTAATGCACGTTTTTCAAAGTATTTGTGAGTAAAACTTACAACTGTAATGAAATAAATGCTACAGGTTTGAATCTAATCCAGGCCCCGTCCAGAGGTTTCGTGTAGTTATGACGGCGCTTGATGTCGTATTTATGTGGGTTAATGTAAACGAAAACGTTTTTTGAAAGTGATGCTGCATGCACGATGTTATTTTGGAAAATGGAGAAAGAAATATTCATTTCTCAAAAAACCGGGCTCTATGTAAATGTAGCCTCACTGTAAATCTGCAGGGTTTGTGCATTAAACATGTGTGATTGAAACAAAACACAACTCCAGGTCTGTTTGATGAGGAAACTACATTAGAACAGATCAGAAAATAGCATCATATGGGCCTTTTAAACATTTGTAGTCAATATGTGGGAAAAAAGATGTGGAGAAAGTCACTGTTGGTTGCCCAAGCTGCAAGAACATAACTTTCAGAATGAAAGTTATGAAAACTGCCTTTACTGTCAATTGGGAAATTGCAACATAATTTTGCAAAAAACAGCTCTGACGTTGTTTTCCTGCTATATCACGTGACATTACATTTTCATTTCCTCCTCAGGTCTCCATGACAACCCCTGGACGTGCGACTGCCGTCTGTTTGACCTGGTGCAGTTCCAGAAGTCTCCGTCCTCCTCGGTGGCGCTCATAGACACCAGGCTGAAGTGCAGTTCCCCAGACAGCCTGGCGGGGGTGCTGTTCTCGGAGGCGGAGCTGCAGAGGTGCCAGGGCCCAAAGGTGCACACGGCCGTGGCCAGGGTCAGGAGCTCTCTGGGCAACAACGTCCTGCTCCGGTGTGGGACCATCGGCGTTCCCATCCCTGAACTGAGCTGGAGCCGAGCCGACGGGAAGAAGGTCAACGGGACAAGTGAGTGAAGGAGAAGAGTGTGAAAGAGAGAAAAGAGAGAGAGACAGAAGAGAGAGAATGAGATAGAAGAGAGAAAGAGTGAGGAAAACAGATGAGAGAAGAGGGAGACAGAAGAGAGAGAGAAATAAAAGGGTTTAGGGTTGGGGTTTACCCTTTTATTTAGCAAGAAAATATTGGATTTTAATGACAATTAGAATGGATGTAATCTACTTTTTAAACGCTAAACATAAAGGTGGAAAATAGAACTTTCTGGGTGGAGGGTTTTCCACCTGTTTGTCTCCATGGAGATGATATGACTTTAAGAACTGTGGAACATTCTAGGTCAGGAGTCTCCATCCTGTAGCTCGACAGACACCAGTAGCTCTTCCACCCTCTTCCACGTCGCTCACCAAGGGATTTCTGAATGACACATATTGCACTGAATAACTAAACTTTGATTGATTAAATGATTATTTCCATTGTAAAAGTATCATTTTCAAGCCTAACTTTGTAAACTGATCACTGGATAATGTTTTAGGTTTTGTAGATCTGTAACTGTAGCTCGTCTGAGGTTTACTGTGGCTTTTATATTTCCTCTGTTTGTGGTAACGGCTAAAACTAGAAGCTCTCTGGCATTTTCGTTTCACAGAAAGTAGCTCACAGGAGAGAAAAAGGTCAGAGATCCATGGTTTAATTAAACTTGCCCATTTTTATTCAATTATGGTATTTTGTTGCTCAAAGATTTTTGGTAGATTAATGTTTGTAAAACACAAACTATTTCATTTGGATCAAGATAAAATAATTACCTGGAAAAAGACAACAAAATAGTAGTTAAACATCTGAAACTGAAATTCTTGTATTAGGGTTAGGAAATCCTGATTATAAAACATATTTGGCCAAAATAATCACATTTGGAATTATTGTTTGAAAATTTGCAATTTATTTATACAGCCACAGCCTACATCCTTATGGATTTACACACATTTTAAAATATCTCCACAATTTTGATCAATACATCAAAAAAGATTTGATTATTTGTAGATGATCACAAATTGTGGAAGGGGACAACTTTATTATGCCAGAACCATGGCAAAGGAGAAATTCGATTTGTCAACTGGACAAATGTATATTTAATTTATTTAGGTCAATTTAGTTTATTTCGACCTAAATAAACATTTGTCCAGTTGACAAATTGAATTTGCCATGGATTCTACCTGGACGACTGAGGGATTTTACAAACATCAAGCCAGAACTATAATACAAGCTTATAAACTTTTAGTGAATTATTTATGGCATTCATTTAAAAAAGTAAATTTCTCTGCCCAATTTAGCGTCCATGTGTAATTATATTGTTCTAACATTGTTTTTGTTCTTTCTTGTTCCAGTTCAACAGGAAATCTCCAAAGAGGGAATCATCTGGTCCATCCTGAGCGTTCCTGCTGTTTCCTACAAAGACTCGGGGAAGTACATCTGCAAAGCCACAAACTTCGTGGGAACAGCGGACGCCATCATCTCCCTCGTCATCACCGACACCTTCCGCTCCGAGGAGATGGGCGGAGCCTCCAAACGCAACCGCGGCGGACGCAAGAACGGGATCGGACGAGCCGCCTACCAAGAAAAACTCATCGCCCGATACGTCCCGCCCCCGACCGCCGCGCCCAACCAACCCGTCATCGAACCGCTCAACAAAAACGCCGTCACCGGGAAGTACGAAATCGAAAGTTACAGCGTTTCCGAAGACGCTAAAAGCACGCCGTCGGATAAAGATGCTTTGAGTAACATTGCCGCAAACGCATCTTCGCTCCAAGCTCCGGAAAAACGCATCGTACGATCAGTTAAAGTCATTGGCGACACCGACCACACCGTGTCTTTAAATTGGCGCGCGCCTACTGCTACAAACACGACCGAGTTTAGCGTTCTGTATGCGATTTTTGGCGAAAGAGACATGCGAAGGATTAACGTCGGCGCGGGAAAGAATCGGATAACTATCGACGGACTTGTACCGAAAACGAAATACATCGCTTGCATTTGCGTGAAAGGGTTAATCCCGAAAAAGGAGCAATGCGTAATATTTTCGACGGACGAAGCCGCGAGCGCTAGTGGCACCCAGAAGCTCATCAACGTCGTCGTGATCACGGTCGCCTGCGTGATCGCCGTGCCGTTAACGTTAATCGTCTGCTGTGGAGCGTTGAAGAAAAGGTGTCAGAAGTTATTGGGAAGAGAATCCAAAGATATTCAGGATTCCTACGTGACGTTTGAGACTCTGGGACCAGCGGGAAAGGGGAAAACCGGACTGGAAACCGATTTTTTGACGCGTCTGGATGAGTCGAATCGTCTGCTTTCGGCGAGGTCCAGCGTGGATTCGGAGGCGACGGCCCGAACGGAGGGACCGCCCAACGAGTACTTCTGCTGAGGACAGTCCGCAGGAGGGGGCTGAAGAGCGGAGAGAGACATTAATGTTGCCTAAATATGACTTTGCAACGGGAAAAACAATGCAACTTTATCCTTTATTTAAATTTCAGAAGTTAAAATGATGAATCCACCCCATCCACTTGTCGTTTTTGTTCACAGTTTGACGACAGAAACGCTCAGAACGAATTCGCTGAAGGATTTCGAACCTTTTACGTATGGGGGACAACTGAAACACGGTGATTTCCGAGGCTCAGCGATAATCGACAATCGTGAAAACAGGGTGAATGAAACTAGGGATGCACCGATCCGACTTTTTTGTTTCTGATACCGATTCCGATGCTATAGCTTTAAGAATCTGCTGATCTGAACTGCTGATACTCGATGTTAACTACAATATGATACAAATGCTGGGACTGAAAACAGATTTTTTTTCTTTAAAACTAAAATTATACTTAAGACAAAACTGATCCAAACGTGTTATGGAGCTTTTATTTATCTCTCTGCAATAGTAACAACAACAGCGAGTATGACAAGTACAAGTACGACCAGTAAGTCGTCTTATTCCATCAAATGTATGTGCAAAATCAGGATATCAAGCTGAACTGATATTTGGAAGCCGATATTTGATCCCAGTATCGGATCGGTGCATCCTTAAATGAAACAAACGTAGATGACAATATGTTTTGATGAGGGAACAAGAATCAGAATTCTGGGAATAATTTGAAAGAGAAGCCGTCCCACCAGTTCACTCCTTTTACATCCATCCATTCATTCATCTTCTTCTGATTATCCGGGGTCAGGTCGCCGGGGCATCAGTCTGAGCAGGGACTCCCAGACTTCCTTCACCCTGGACACTTCCTCCAGCTCCTCCAGGGGAGCACCGAGGCGAACCCAGGCCAGCCCAGAGACATAGTCCCTCCAGCCTGTCCTGGTGCCTCCTCCTGGTGGGACATGGAAGGCGTCCAGGAGGCATCAGAACAGATGCCCGAGCCTCAGCTGCTCCTCTCGACTTGGAGGAGCAGCGTCTCTACTCCGAGCACCTCACTCTATCTCTAAGAGAGCACCCAGACACCCTGCAGAGGAAACTCATTTCATCCGCTTGTATCTGCGATCTCGTCTTTTCGGTCATTACATAAAACTCATGGCCATAAACTCTTTTTACAGTCAAACCAAAGTCTGGCTCAGAATTGGACTTTTTCTCCACTTCATGGCCTCAGTGGGATACAGGGACTTTACACAGACATATGTTTAAGACTTTAATGCTGCATTCAGACAAAACAAAAAAAGCATTTATTCACTTTATTTATTTATTTATTTATCTATTTATTTGACAGGGACGATGCTGTCATACGAAGTCACAGAGCTGCAGCTGGTTGGAGGCATGTAGAATGTTTGACAGCTGGTGCTAATTCTCATTTAAAGAGCCACTAAAACACCAAAATCACTTTTTTCTACTAGCTGTGTAAATGGGTCTAAAATAGAAGTGTATCTCTATCCCTGACCTTATTTTGGCGTTTTAGTGCATATTTGTTAAAAATCAGACTTTTGGGTCAAAGTCGTGTCTGTAACGGACTCTTTAGGATCAACTACGGCCTGGATATTTGAGTTTTTTGGTTGGACTAACAGTTGCCAATGAGACAGACGCAGGTTATTAGGAGACGAGCACAGACACTGGCGTCTACGGGCGGTTGACCTGGCACCGCTGGGCACCACCTCGTCCCACCGTGTCTGGAAAAAAGGGAACCAGCGTGATCAGAGCACAAATGTCCGCTCTGTTTTACAAAGTTTGGAGCGCACCGGTCCGTGCCGTGTTGGATTTTTGCTCCCCCCAACCCACCGGGCACTGCCCACTCTGGAGGATTTTTAAGATTTTGCTTGAGGCAGAGTAAAGCTTCAGGAGGGTGTTTAATGGCTCTTTAAAAACACAATTTTATTTTTTAATTTTATACAACAGTGCAGTTTCACTTTACTGGCATTTCCACATTCAAACTGTTTTACGTGTAAAGTTTATGTACATGTCCCAGGAGTCAAACGGTAGAGCTGAAAAATCTGAATTTTTTTGCGAAATTTACAACCCCTCGATGAGTTTCAGGCGAATGTTGTCAAATGTAAAAGCTCTGAGTAGAAGTGTCTGAACGCAGCATTAGATTTACTCTCACGTCGTGTTGAAACAGAATCTTCTTTGGCCTTTTCACCCACAGTCGTCCAAAAGGGAAACCTGCTTCACACTGGTTTGTAAATCTGTACAAATGTTTTAAACTTTTGTCTTCTTGCACTTTGTACTTTGCAGAGGGGAAATGTGAAGTTAAGTTTGTGTGTTTTCTTCCTGTTCTCTGCATATTTACTGTGTATGTTCTGTACACATGTGAGTAGGTCTTTAACAGTGAGACGTGCCGGCATTTTGAACACGGTTTGTTATGAAGTAAAACACATGTCATTTATGGAATTAAATATTTTTATACAAAACAACTTTAAATGTGTGCTTTTATGTTTGAACATTCAGCAGCTCTGAAAGATAAAGTCATACTACGGAACATTACAAACAAAAATGACTTATTTTTCCAAAACTCTACTAGAGTCTCCAAATGTTCTTAGGCCCCGTTTACACAGACACGGGTATTTTTAAAAACATACAAAACACAACAACGTGTCTCTGAAAATGAATCTTTCTAAAAACTCTGACTAGAGAGGAGATTGTGATAGAAATTTAGATTGTGGAAAGATTTCTTTCAGTCTGTCTATGTGTAAATGAATGTGATTTGTACCTGAAACCCAGAGCCGTCATGAACATGTGTAAAGGTTCATAAGACACAACTGTCTCCTCCTTCAGGAAACCCTTTGTTGTCCTCAGCTGTATGTTCATTTAGCACCAGCCTCTGAAACCAAAGTCACTTTGCTTTGATATGTGACTTGTATTTCTGTATAAATACTCAGAGCAGGTGATACGGGGCAGATACTTGGGCAGATACTTGGAGATGGGGGCAAGGCAAGTTTATTTGTATAGCACAATTCATACACAAAGTAATTCAAAGTGCTTTAGGGTAGATGTGGTAGGGACATTCTGCTGGTGGACAGAGGACAGAGGCTGTTGGTCTGTGGTCAGAGGAGACCTAGGCCCTGTCCATATCTGCTGTAACAAGAATAAACCTTGGTCTATATTCCAAAAACTCATCGGGCTTTGCAAATGGATTCATTATTTATCTTCAGGAGATATATAATTTTTGCCACAACAAGATTCTGGAAAACTATGATTTGGCGTTAGAGTGTAAAGTGAGATAAACAGAGTTTTAACCCTCTCCAGGCAGGCGTTGCAGATTAGCAACAGCTAAATTCCAATTATCTACTTACTCCACATCCATATTTTATGAGCTTTTTTTACTCAGGAGCCTTTTCTCCATCCATGCTGATAAACATGGGCAATGCAGACTGTGCAAGAACGACTACACACAAACAGCCTGCCAGAAGTGCAAAATACTTTTTTTGTTCACAAAGGATAAAAAAGTCAGGATTGTATATTACTACCCCATATGATAATTTTCCCCAAATATCAGATTTTTCCTGATACTAAAAATGAATTTGAGCCTGAGAGGGTTAAGAGTTGATGCGCCAGAAGTGTGACCAGTGTTTCCCTTTAGCTCTGATGATGATGATGATGATGAAGCATCAGAGCAGCAGTCGTGTTTCTTCTGCTGAAACACTTTTCATGTGTTTGCATTTGCACACACTGAAGTTTGTTTGTTTCATATCCACGACCAGAGACAAATGAACTTGGAGGTCAGTGATTTATCCACTTCTTTAACAGATCTGTGGAGAGGCGAGCCCGCTCACTAATGCACATTTTTCAAGGTATTTTTGAGTAATACTTACACGTATAAATACTTAATACTTACTTATGAAATAAATGCTGCAGGTTTGAATCTAATTCAGGAGAAACGTCTCAAACGTCAGTAGCCGGACATCCACTCATACCTGATCGATAAATCTATCTCCGCCCCGAGAGAGTCTGAAATCTTCTGAAATCCTCCAAGACACCGACACGATACAGACAGAACAGAGACTCATTCTGCAGGAGACATGAGCAGTAGAGCGAGAAGTGACGGGTGCAAGAGCGAGACAGACAGAAGAGATGATGCGCTGAGGAAGATGCTTTTTGTTTGTGTTTTGAACATTTATTTGGTTTCATACACACACCCTCCTCAGGGAAAACACACGAAGAAGTACAGATAATGCAGCTTTTAAGATAAAGGCGACTGATCTACGAGTCGATGGTGAGATTTTGGCGACGGCAGCGACAAAATGACTCAACGCAAAAAGACGACAAAAGCTTTCAGAGGCGATAAAAGCAGACGGCTCAAACTTGAAAACGTTTTTGAAGACGTGGACACCTGCGGCTTATATTCAGGTGCGGCCGATATATGTACAGTTTCAAAATTTAGTTAAAATTTAGTTGATGCGGCTTTTATTCAGATGCGCTCAAGTGTGGAAATGATGGTAGGTCTCTAAAAATGGTGAAAAGCTCTTACAAACTCTGAAAGCAGAAGGTGAGTGAGGAAGAACTTTAGACCACTACAAACTGTTTTAAATGAACTAGTTTGGTTTTAAATTAACTGTGATTTTACGGATCTTCACAGTGAACTGGAATAACACAGAGACTTAGATCTGTCACAGGTGGAGTCTGAGTCGAGTGTAAACACATCCTCTCCTCGTCTTCTCACATTCGGGATTAAAGAGGTCAGATTACAGCCATCTGTCTCCGGGTTCCTCCTCTTCCTCCTTCCGTATCCTCCTCTCCTTATTTACTCCCTCCGTCTGTTTTCTGCTCCTCCATCTCTCCTCTCTCTCCTTTCCTTCTTCCCTCTCCTGTCTGTTCCTCCTCTCTTTCATTTCTGTCTCTAACCCACAGGTGTCAAACACACGGCCCGGGGGCCAGATCCGGCCCTCCAAGACCTTTAATCTGGCCCTCGGCTGATTTTCTACTCAAATATTTTAATTATATTTTCT